TCAAGGTCACCTTATGAGTGAGAACATATGGAACTCAGTTCTTTGCTTCTGTGATAAATCACTGAGTATGATTGACTCCAAATCCATCCAATTTGCTGAAAAGTCCATATATTTGTCCTTCTTTATGGTTGCATAATATTCCATTGTGTATACGTACCACTTTTTTTTTTTTATCCAGTCCAGCTTCGATGGACAACACCATTGGTTCCATGTTTTTTCTGTTGTGAATACAGCTGCAAGACAAACATACTGTACAGGTATCTTTTTTGTGGAATGACTTGAGTTCCTCTGGGTATATTCCAAATAGGGGAATTGCTGGGTCATATAGAAGGTCAATTTCTAGTTCCTTCAGAAATCGCCACACTGTCTTCCAAGAGTAACTTTGGTCCTGGAGCCCTGTTTAATCTCTCAGTGTGGAAAATTGGCCCACGTGTGAGTTATGAGGACCCATTCTGCCCCAGTGGCTTCAAGTTGAAAAGCTGATTCCATAGACCCATTTCTTTGACCAAATCTTGATCAGACATGAACATCCAAAGGTAGGGATGGCCCCTCATTTATAGGTGAAAGAACAGGTTATTTACCTACTTGATTACTAAGTGCTTTCTTTGTCTCTCTCTGATAGCATAAAAATATCTTCATTCCTTGTTCCCTTTCAGAGAGGTTCATCCACATAATTCTACCAGAGACTTCATAGTTACAAGTCTTCTAATCTTACTCTTTCCAAGTTCTTGAATAACCAACCAATCTATTACCATTGTCCATGAATTACTGTAGGTCCGTACCTAGGCCACCCTTCTTTCTCCCAGAAGGATTTCCTTTAAACACTGTCTTTCAGGGCCATCTTTACATCAGGCTACAATGCGTCACTTCTGACTGGCACCAGTATATAATGCAGACCATCTCGCAAACATGGCCTTCCTTTTTCCTCCTTTGTTAACTAACCATAGGAATTTCTTGTGACACCATTAGTGTATGAAGAAGGAGAAGGAGTAAAGCAGGAATGAGTGCCACCAACATCTGAGTCACCTGCTCCTTGAGTTTATGCATGCCATACCTGCTAAGCCTCAGCTTTGAACATGCCATTTGCACTTGACATTGAAATGGTTCTTCACAGGTCTAATTTTATTATTCAAGAGGTTAGATAATGCCTAACTCATTATGGAAGATTTGGGTCTTGTGAATTTATTTTTTAAACCTATTACTGATAATTCTGATATATGAAGCCTTTGAAAATCTGAATCTCTGGTCTGTGGTTTCTACTTGCCTTCATTCATGGTGCCTCATTTCCTTGTGTGTTTTGTGACTTGAGGCTCTGATCTGTACATTTCTCTTGGAACTTTGAGTAGATCCGTTGAGTACTAAGTTAAAAGTCAACTGCTTCACTTACTTCTTTCAGACATCTTAAGCACTACTAGCCTGGGACAATTTGCAGCTAAATTACCAGCTTGTGTTTTGTTTTGTTTCAGACTACCCATGAACTGTGAGGTCCAGCTTGAGATTATAAATTCTCAGTGAAGATTGTTTTCTCTTTTAGTCTGAATCTCACTCTGTTGCCCAGGTTGGAATGCAGTGACACATTCACGGCCACCACAGCCTCAACCTGCTGGGCTCAGGAGATCCTTCTGCCTCAGCCTTCCAAGACATGTGCCACCACGCCCAGCTAATTTTTTCATTTTTTGTAAAAACAAGGTCTTGCCAAATTGCCCAGGTTGGTCTCAAACCCCTGGGCTCAGGCAGTCTTCTCATCTCGGCCTCCCAAAGTGCTGGGATTATAGGCATGAGCCACAGTGCCCGGCCGAAGCCTTTTTCTATTTACTGAGTACTAAGAATCAAAACCAGGCAATTTTTCTTGAAAACATATAGTGAAGGAGAGGGAATGTCATGCCTGGTTTATTTTTACACTGTGCATGCAACACTTTCAGGACTGAGATTTATGTAAGGGTCTCTTGTTAGACTCACATGTTTTCAAACTCTAAATGCTGTCTCCTCTCCCCTGCCCACCCTCCCTTTGCACAAACTATGGAAACTCAAGTTCGCCTGATTCAGCAAATGCCTTTGAGACAAGAGTCATCTTCAGTTACTGCCTTCAGTGCTTGCTTGCACTTTACCTTACTTTCTTACAAGGTCAAGGATGCTTAAGAAGTTTTTGTATATTTCAGCTATGCTTTTTTCTTTAACTGTTTCCAATGGGAGGATCATCCTGGATTCTCTGACCAGTATTCTTTCTGAAACAGAAGTCCAGAACCAACACTTTTCTCCAGATCATAAACTTTGTTGTTGTTAGGATGGGTGGCAGCATCAAAGGAAGGAATCAAAAAGATAATTGCCAACAGATGAAACCATCACTCAATGTCTAAAACCAAAATGCTGAAATGATTGCTTTCTTAAGAACAGGAGAGCCATGCTGGTCTGGCATAGGCTCATCAAGCAGAGCAAAGTGTTGGACTTATATCACATTTGGGGGAATCATTTTGGGGTAGTCCTGTTGGTTACAGATTTGGAAATGGGAAATGGGTTGGTGGCAACTTAGAAGTTTGTACACTGAAGCAAATCCAGAGATGATGGGCTGACATTCAAAGCACAATGCTGTTGCTGACAGTTTGCTTTCAGAGGTGTGTTCACTGACACAAGTTGTCATTGATCAATAAAAAAGGTTGAACGCATTTCAAGGTATTTACTTGTTATCATGGCTATGCATCTATCAACCTTTTCCTAGGAATATAGAGAGTCTTTATTCTCAGAAAAGAATATTTAAGCCCAGAGGAATCCAATAGAACAAATGGCAGAAGAAGATGATGGGGAAAGAGCAACCTGGAAGTGAGGAGGAAGTCACAGACACCTAGCAAGTTAAGTAAAGGCAGGAATAACCTATGGTGGAAATGCTGCCCACAGGAAGACTGAGATACTAGTTGAGCAGCATCCTAAAACTTTTGAATGGGGGATCCGCCGGTGACCTTGGCCAGAGCTAGTTCAATAGCACAATAAGCACAAAAGCAAATTGCAATGAGTTTAGGAGAGACAGAGAAATAGAGAAAAATAATGGGCAACTACTTAACTTTTGACAAAATTGGAAACTAGAGATGAAAAATGAGATAAGATATTAGTGGGAGGTAAGACACAAAAAGTAAAACTAAAATTTGACATTAAAAAGCTGAGGTTGATTGTGACTGGGGACATAAGCATCCTAGATTTTCAGGAATTAAAGGACCTTAACAACCATCAACAATGAAAGAATTCAATATTCGAATTCTTTCTGCAATAACCACCAGACAGACCTCTCAGCTTCACAACATGAAACTAAGACAGCATATTGCACATTATAATAGCTTTGTTAGTTATGAAGTTCTTCCATGAACTAAGCCAAATGTGTCTCCAAGACTTCCACCTACTTCTCTGTGCATCCATCTCACTGGTTCCAGTCCCCCTCTGAGTGCTCCACAGAGCAGATTAAGTCATGAGTCTGCCTTAACCCTCCAACCCTCCCTCCTGGACTTAAATGTACTGCCCTCACTGGTTTTCCAAATACTTTCATCCTCACTGACTTTTCTATCCCCTCTTTAATTGCACTTCAGTTTTCCAGCCTTCTCTCTCATGGGTGACATTCAGAATGGAGCAGACATATCAGTCTGCAAAACCCAATCTCTCACTGGGATTTCTGGTGAATGAAAGACAGACAAGGGTGGCAGGTGCATGGGTTTTAATGAGGGGAATCAACAGCAAGTCTTGGTTCCCGGAGAACTTGATAATGGTGATCAGCAGTGCTCAAGATACTTTTGGCCAGTGTTTCTCATGGGACCAGTCATCATTTTTCTCTTTGCCAGAAATACTTATCCTCATGTAGGACTGGAGGCAACATGACTGATAACTTCTGCAGTGGAAGTAGGGCCATTCATTCCTTTTGCAAGAGGCTCTACAGATTCCAGAGTTACCCATGCATCGAAGGATGTTATGTCTACCTGTGGGGAAAAAATTAGAAATAGTTACTTTCCACTTAACAGTAGCATAGATCTACAGTCAGGCAGTATAGTAAAAACCTAAAGGGCGATCGTGACTTCCACTTCCAGAAACATAGAGGAAGTGTCTCTGTTTGTCCTTCCAAGTACAGTGTAAAACCCCAAGCATTATACATAAAGCAAATAAAAGAATTCTCTGAAAGGGGAAGAAAGAAGGCAAACTAGGCAGGACCTGAGGAATGATACAGCCATGCATTCCTGGGTTTTCTTTTTGCCTCATAAATCTTAGACTTGTGCTAGAGAAACTGACAATCTTGAAACACAAATGAATGCAGACATTGAAAAGTCTGCTCTTACTTGGATGGCTTTGGAGTCGATCATACTCAGTGATCTATCACAGAAACAAAGAACAGAGTTCCACATGTTCTCACTCATAAACGAACCTTGAACAATTATAATGCTATAAGAAAGTGATTGGCAGTAGTGGGATACTGCTAGGGGAGGAAGGGGCATGCCTCATCAACAGGGGTACCTGCGTGATCAATGTTTATAAACCTAACCCCAAAATGTACCCCACATTTTTATAAAACAAAAAAAATAAAGAACACTGAAAAAAAAAATAAAAGTCTGCTCTTTATAGCCCAAGGACCAGGAAAAGAAGAGCAGCCTAGCATGGCAGAACAATTTAGATAATAACCACTTTGCTCCCATCAAAAGCCACAGACAAAACGACACCCCCACTCACACGTCCACCTAAAACGGTTGAGTGAGAAGCCTAGACTTACAACTTACAGCTCTCTGAGCTGTAAGAGGTGTAACCTCCTAGGTTGGGGTCAGAGAAGCCCAAGTGGGAAGCCATGACTTTTACTCCTGCTGGATGGTAGCAAGGTCCACCATCACCACACAGTGTCCATAGGAATCATGTGGGGAGCCTCGACTTCCCATATCTGGCTGGAAGAAGGCATCCAACCCTCCATCTAGCTGATGGGGCAGTGACAGAGGAAGCCTGAAAGAGAGTAGAGACTTTCTCCGCCACATGGTAGCAGCAGCGCGCCACTCCCCAGTGCCACTGGAGGCCATCTGGGGAACAGAACACTCTCCTACTCCCAACCAGGGTGGTATCAGAGGAAGCATGCTTGGGAGTGAAGCCCGCACCCTCGCCCCTCATTGATGAGGAGTCCCTCTCTTCTCCCTCCCCACCCCATGTCAAAGGAAGCCAAGTGGGAAACCTGGACTTCCACCTGCTCCTGACAGTGTGAAGGCAGCTCCCACGTCCTCACCAGGGCAGCGTCAGAAGAGAAAGGTTAACAAAGATCATTTAAATGACCCAGAATCTCAACATAATACCAAAAATGTCAAGGTCCAGCAAAAACTACTCATCATACTAAGGGCCAAGAAAATCTCAACTTGAACAAAAAAAAAAAGACAATCAACAGAACTTGAGATCCAAGCTGTGTGTATCAATAGTCCATTCTTTTTAATTCTGAGTGGTATTGCATGGCACGAATGTAGGAGAGTTTATTTAACCATTCAACTATTGAGCGACATTTTGGTTGTTACCAGATTTGTTTCTTAGTTGTTGTTGTTTTTCTCCCCATGTGATTCTTGATTTAACAATCCCCCCCAAAGCAAATGTTTTTGAAAATACTTATAGTTTATAAATTAAAGGGACTCAATCTGATAATAGATGAATTTTGGGGATAAAATGACAGGAATATTTAAAAATACAATGGACAATATAATGTTTTGTATAATTCTTCTCTAGTAATAATGAAACAGATAATTTGGTACAAATGCCTGGCAGATGACAGGTGGGCACGTTTTTAAAATTTGTCAAGAGGCATCAAAACACAAAAAGATAATGGAGAATTAGCAGGCCAAAATTCAGAAAAAGCTGGGGGAAGTCACCATTTTTAATTTTACATGTTCTGATAAGTATGTAGTGGCATCTCATCTCTAATGGCTAATGATGTTGAACAACTTTTTTTGTGGTCTGTATGTCATCTTCAATGAAATGTCCTACTATGTCCTTGTCCATTTCTAATTGAATTGTTGAGTTTTAAGAGTTGTTTCTATACTTTAGATCGAAGTGTACTGTCAGTTATATAGCTTGCGAATATTCTTGCTCAGTTGTATTTTATCTTTTCAACCAGCCCCTTTGCAGGACCTTCCACAGAATGAGACATTTACATTTTGAATAAGCCCAATATATCCATTTTCTTTTTTTGTGGATTGTTCTTTTCATATCTAAGTACACTCCACCAAGCCCTCAGTCTGATGATCTTTTCCTATGCTCTCTTCTAGAAGTTTTATAGGTTTACACTTTACATGTAAATCTAGATCCATTTTGAGTTAGTTTTCGCATAAAGTGTGAGGTTTGAGTAGAGTTCCCTTTTTTTGTTGCTGTTTCCTGTAAATGTTCAACTGCTCCCAGCACCATTTGTTGAAAAGATCTTTATCTCATTAAAAAGCTTTCACATCTTTGTAAAAAGTCAGTTGACTTTGCTTGTGAGGGGCTATTTTGGGGTTCCCTGTTCTGTCCATTGATCTGTCTGTCTCTCCACTAATATCACACAGTCTTGATTACTATTACTATACAATAAGCCTTAAAATCTGGTATAATAATTCTTCCAACTTTATTCTTCTTCAGATTTGTTATAGTTATTCTTGTTTCTCATTAGACAAAGTATAGACAGAGTAATCTCTATATCTACAAAAGAATTTTACTGGGATTCTGATAGAAATTGTGTAAAATGCATATACCAATTTGAGGAAAATTGATATCTTTGCTATCTGAGTCTTGCAAAATGTAACCATGGTATGTCTCTTCATTTATTTATATCTTATTTTATTTCTTTTATCAGGACTCCATAGTTTTTTGGCAAAAAATTTTTGTACATGTTTTGTTAGACATAGATATATGTGCAAGTATTTTATTTTTGGAGTGATTTCAATTGGTATTGCATTTTTAATTTTGGTATCCACATGTTCATTGCTACCATATTGAAATACAATGGATTTTTTATGTTCATCTTGTATCCTGTGTCTTAGACATTTTACTTTTGTTTTAGTTTTGTTCTGTTTTTTATAGATCCCTTAGAATTTTCTACATAAACTATTATGACAGCTGCAAATAGAGACAACTTTATTTCTTCCTTTCTACTCTGTATCTTTTATTTTCTTTTCTTGTCTTAATAATTGGCTAGAAATACTCAGAATTTAAAGGAACAAACTATTGATACACACTACTTAGATGAATTTCAAGAGCATACTGCTAAATGGAAAAAAATACCATTCTCAAAAACTCACATATGATTCCATTTGTACAACACTCTTGAGTTGACAAAATTATAGATATGGGAAAAGAGATTCGTGGCTGCCAGGGTTAGGCACAGTGACAGAGGATAGGGACAGGGAGCAGAGCTGGTATGACTTTAAAGGAGTCACAAGAGGGGAATTTCTGTGGTGATGAATGGTGCTGTAGCATGATCATTGTGGTGGCTACGTAAGTCTACATGAAATAAAATGGCATAGAAGTATACATACATTTGCCTCATAATCAGTTTCTTGGGTTTTTTTAACCAATATTTTTTATTTTGATATTGTGGGGTACAGTTAAGGGTTAGGTAGACAAATACATTTCGTTCAGGCACCCTTGTTGATAAGGGGTGCCTCCCCGTCCCCAGACAGATATTGACTACCGTTAATCCCATCTCCCTTCCCCTCCCTCTCCCCCCATAGTTTCCCACCACTGTCAATCCTTTTCTTATAGTATTACAATAGATGTTCAAGGTCCACTCAAGTTTCTTGGTTTCTATATTGTACTACAGGTATGTAAAATATAACCATTGGGGGAAATGGGGTGAAGATTACACAGGACCTCTCTCTTGCAACTTCCTGTGAATCTATAATTGTCTCAAAATAAAGGGTTAAAATATGAATAAATTAAATAACCTAAGGGGCTATAGAGAGATTAAAAGAACAAGGCCTAAAATCAAGAAACCCTGTATGTTCCAATACCAACTTCCATTTTATTTGCTGTGTGACCTGAGGCAAGTTCTGTACCTCTCTTTTCTACCCTTTTCTCAACCACACAGTGTAGATTGCAATAATACCTAACCACTAAAGTTCTAAGAATTAACAGCTTAACAAATGGAAAACATTTAGGGACTGACACATAGTAAGAACTTAGTAAATGTTAACTATTGCTTCGTTTTTATTATCACATAAAGGTTTTTTGCCAAAGGATCCATTTCTGCCTGGACTACAACTACGAACACAGTTTGAGAATATTTCCCTGAAACTAGGTAGGCAGTAGTCCCTTGGGGATGGCCAGAGATTTTTTCCTTTGGAAGTTGTATACACATAGAAACCAGGGATAGCCGGGCTCGGTGGCTCAGCCTATAATCCCACACCTTTGGGAGGCTAAGATGAGTGGATTGCCTGAGCCCTCAGGTTCGAGACCCGCCTGGGCAGCGAGACCTCATGTCTACAATAAATCAAAAAATCAGCCGGGCGTGGCAGCGCATGCCTGTAATTCCGGCTACTCGGAAGCCTGAGGCGGAAGGATCACAGGATCCCAGCAGGCGAGGTTGCGGTGGCCGGGAGCAGCCACTACACTCCAGTCTGGGTGACCAAGTGAGACTCCAATTCAAAAAAAAAAAAAAGAAACCAGGGATCGTTCTCAGTCCATAGTCAGTATTCAAGAGATATTAGCCATTGGCATTATTATTATTCCTCCTTGAGACTGAGGTCTCCAAAACAAAAATGATGCTTTGACTAGAAAAGAAATAATAGTAATGACCATTACCATTTGCTGAACACCCACTGTGAGCCGTCTCATATGTGTTAACTAATTGAACCTTTACTGCAGCCTTCTGAAGCAACGTCTTTATTTCCTTTTCTTGCGCTGTGAAACTGAGGCTCAGAGAGAAGCAGTTTTCTGGCAAAGGCCTCATAACTGTTAGAGGCAGAGAAAGGACTCCAACACCACTCCCATGACTCTAAGCCCATGATCTCTCTCAGTACCACATTGCCTCCCCACCTGCTGGAACCTGGCTGGGAGAGGTTGGGGTCTCCCTGGATAATGATGTCTGGGGCCACGGCTCCCTGTTGTCCTCTGTGTCAACCCAAACTTCTGAACATGGCATTCAAAAGCCTCCTACTTATCCCACAGATGGGTATTCAGCACCCAATATTTGCCATGACTTGAACTTGACCCAAGGCACCCAAGTGGCTCCTAGTCTCAACGAGCTTAATGCACAGTCTAATGGGCACCCACATGTACACCATGATTATCTAAGTGGACTACTCCACTTTATTTTGACCAGAGAACACATGTTGCCTAAGCAAGGGTATGGAGAAATAAGAAGGAAATCATCTTTACTCCTTTGAAGCTTGAGCCAGGATAGGAAATGGATTCCTCAATATCATATGTAATTTAGGTTAGCACAGAGAACAGAGGCTGAACTGAGCTTTAGTTCACCCACAGGCCTGCTTATCCATCCCAGAAAGGTTCAGTACAGGTGCCCAGTCTTCCCCACTTTGAGATCCCGATGCTTCCACAACTGCATGTCAGCCCCCACCCCAGATGGGTCTGCTCTCTACTGTCAAGGTCTCTAGCCCTCCTCATCACCTCTCAGCCTGCAAGGAAAGAAAAGAAAGGCTCAAGGCAGCTCTGCAAGAGTAAGAGTCACAAGCTTTCTGTCGTATCCTTTGGAGATAGGCTTTTTCCAACTTCCTTGAGGAGGGCCAATTTGCACCCAAAAGAAGAGTGAGCAGAACCGTACATGGGAGATAGCAGAGCAAGCAGGTTCACCTTCTTCCTAATTTCCCTCTAGAGAGAGGACATAGCAGACCCAGAGAGGGGTTTCAAAGGTGGCCAAACTAGCTCCCGAGGCTTTTGTCAGGCACTTTGCTGCTCCTAACAGTCACCTGTCTGTTGGCTCTGTGTCACTCTGCGTCCCCACTCATAGTATCATCCACATCTGTTTAATGTCATCTTCTGTGTTCCCTCAACCCTTTCACCAGAAGTCAGAGAAGACCTGCTTACGAATCCCAGCATTGTCTCAACTCCACTTATGAGCACAGATCCCGTCTCCCCCTTGAGCCCGTTTCCCCATCTGTGAAAAGGGAAAACAGAGAAAGTTTGCCTGAGAGTCTCACAATTTGAGGACTGCTAAGAATGGAGGAAGTGTGACAGGAGAAGTGTGTGCCTTAACCCAACGGAATTTTCAAAAGTTCACATGCCTAAACTCCAAGTTCAGAGCTTCAGATATGGGGATAAATGTCCTCTGAAAACTTTCCATAGCTCGATGTTGACATCTGGACACTTTCCTCAGTCTAATGTTCTATCACTCCCCAGGGTTGTCTCTGCATACCCAGTGTTAAGCACAGAGGAGGTTCTTGATAAATGTCATTGACAGAGGGAATAGGTAATGATTCATAATGAGTGAGTTTGGTGGAGCATGAATGGCTGTGTGTAGAGAACTTAACACTGAGCCTCAAGTATGGGGAATCCTTAGACGTTACCCAGACCACTTCCAACACAGTAAGTCTGCGTAGTTTTTTTTTTGTTTGTTGTCATTGTTGTTTTTACAGATGGGAACTCTCTCTGTTGTCCAGGCTGGAGTGCAAGTAGCCTACTCATAACCCACTGTAGCCTCAAACTTCTCCTGGGCTCAAGTGATCCTCCTGCCTCAGTCTCCTCAGTAGCTAAGACTATAAGCATGCACCACGATGTCTGGCTTTTTTAAATTATTTTGTAGAAACAGGATCTCTCTTTGTGGCCCAGACTAGGTCTGTATATTTTAAAAGAAAACTAACTGGGGCAGTCCCTTCGGGTCCCCTCGCACTGTGGGAGATTTCTGTCCTCTCAATAAATCCTGCTTTCTCAAAAAAATTTTAAAAATAAATAAAAGTAAACTAACTGAGTAACATTAAGAAGCAACTTGAGCAAAACCAGAGATCTCCTCTGCGTATTTGCTAACACAGCCGTCCAGGACTAAGTATACCTAACACAGTAATTCTGGGCTTCCCCTGGCCCAGGAAGGATCCCATCCAGACTCCTAGAACCTGTAGTCAGTCATTAGTACCTCCATCAAACTCATTTGTGTTTTCATTTGTGAATCCATTATTCATCTATTCATCTAATCAAGAAACATAAATGGCATCCATGCTGCCAAGCGCTGGGCTTAGCACCAGATACACAGATGTAAATAAGATGTTGTCTCAGCCCCTAAGGATTTCCACCTAATATACGAGCATTTGGGAAGTTGGTAGAAATGGTGTTATAGACTGAAAAGAGGCCATTTTAGTTATATTAGAACAGTCATTTAGAAAAGTCTTGAAAACTTGTATTCTTTTGTAACTGAGTTGCGCTAAACGTAGCCGCTTAGATTCAAGAGTGGACATTTTTCCTATCTCCTCTCCCACCCCCACCCCCACCACAGCATGGCCTTTCCCAACTGGCTACTCTTATCTAGGAAGTCATTGCTGGTGCTGAAAAAGAAATAGCTGGCAAGTCAGACCACCTAATGATTAGGAGAGTGGACCAAGGTTGACAGAAGTGTGTCTGAAAGCTTGGAATGGGCACTGCCCACCTCCCCTTCATCTGTAAATACAAGGACATTGAACTATTATAGACCAGGGCTCTGGGAGTACCATATAGTTACAATTATGTTTTTCCCTTCCGTCCAAATATTGCAATTGTCTGTCCCATCCTCTAAAAAACTGTTTAAAAAATTGTAAATTGCAAAATGTTATCTAAGATGCCAACATGACCAGGAAACTTTGTGTCACATCAGTAGTTATGTATCAAAAATTGTTCCTGTAAAACTTGAGTGATGCTGAATTTGTACATGGGCTTCAAACTCAGGCCTCAGGCTATGAATTTTGGGTATAAATACTGGAATGAATCTGTGTTGCTTGGAATGGACTTTTTGGCCATGATGCCAGCCCTTCTCCCTATAACTTGTTTATAGAAATTAAGCACTCCCTTTGCCCCTAGTCTCTGCTTCTTGTGTTTTAATTGGCCACAAGGGATAGCAGACTATTTGTTGGATCAGGCTGTAATAAGAGGACAATGTCTCAAATGATTACACAATAACATGACTCATGTCATAGCTTCTTAACAGTGGCAATCAGAATTCAGTTTGGAGAAAGAGAGGTAACTTACAAAGAGTAGATCAAAATCTACACTGTGAAAGGACAGACTGAGAGTGGGAAGCCATTTTCATCTTATTCTTAAATCCTGACACAATGATGAGAAAGTAGAAGCTATGCTTTTGGAGAAATGCACACTTTAGGTAAAATTGACTTTACTGACTGTCTTTTCAGAATCAGACTTTCAGGTGTCTGAGGTATCTCATAGTGGTAATCAAGCTTTCCTAGAGTAAAGGGAATTTACAAGGCCTAAGACATCATGCACTGGGCAAAGTCATTGTAAAAGTCATGAAACTTGTAATTACAAAAGTTATGACCACTCAGAGGGGGAGCAGGTGGGGATTCAATTTTCCAGTAGAATGGACCCTATCTACAGGGAAGCCAAGGATTCCCTGAAGCTACCCACTGGGGATGCATAGGAGATAAGGCGAGGTGCACCCTCCACTAGCTCTAAGGAATGTCATTTGGGGAGGTGCAGGAGCATTAGAATCCTTGTCATGCCCTTCTCTAAGGGCTATGATGATGTGGGCGGACAGTAATGGGTCTCTGTGTCACAGGTTCTCCAAGACTTCCACAGGTGGTCGATAAGGAAGTCCCGGCAGTCACGTGCAACATCTCCAAGAAAAGGATTTGAGCCAGGACTCTGGGGGGCTATGAGGCCACGCTCATCTAGAGTGTAGGCCCACTCCCTGTCTGTGGGGGTTGAACTTTTCTTAAATAAATCTTTTCTTCTCTCACCTCTGTGTGTTGCGAGTCTTTGCAATCTACTCGGATCTCTGGGCTCCCAGCGCAGCAGCTCCGACTTGCCGGCCCTGGCGGAGCTGCCCCTCTCCGCTGCGGCTCCCCTCTCCCTCTCTCCACCCTCACCCTGTCCATACCCTAACACACTGCCTGTAAAAAGCCAGTAAACAGAAATAAGTATTGAGTGCTGAGGGAAATTTTGTTCAAGCTAGAATTGCATACTTGGCTAAAATGTATTTACTAGATAAACATAAATTTAAATATTTTCAAAATTAAACCTTCTGAGTGATTTGATTACCAACAGGAGTTTCTTAAGAGTAAATTGCAAAAGGAAAGAAAAATTTTCTTGTATGAAGGTCTAAGAATCAAAAGGAAAAAGTAATAGATACGACATGTGAAAAGTAAATAACAGTGAAATTGAGGAGGTCAGTAATAACGGCAGTATAAATTATTAAGTTTAGACAATTTGAAAATTGGAATTTGGAGAAAAGCATCCTCTGTTCTACACTGTGCTAACCAGGGTCGGTAGAGATTCCTCCTCTCTGGCATCATACTCCCCAAATATATGGACTACAGATTTTCAACATGAATGTTTTTAAAAAAAAAAAAAGTTTCCCTAATGTTCAGACTTTGAGTTTCTCTACTATTCACATTTCATGAGAATCTGTCGGCGCTGTAGGTGGCAAAATAACAATAATTACTATTATTTTTTCTTTATTTTTTTAACCTACTCTGAGTCAATTCTCTTTGCCTTCTACTTTTAAAAAATATAGACAACAGAAGACATCATCCCAATTGAATTTAGACATTGTTACCATAAATTTCAAAAATAAAATTGAAATGCTTCTGCCTTAAATCCCAGGAATACAAGTCAACAAACTGCTGTGCAAGATTTCACTAGATGGAGACTGAAGGAAGTCTGAAGGAAGTCTAAAGGAGGTGAGGAGTGACCTCAGCTCAAGTCTCACTCTTGTTTCAACTTAGAAAGCCTTTCTCTACTCCAGATCTCTGCTCAGGCCTCATTTTGGGCTTCCCTGAGAATTATTTCCTTTTTTGTAGAATATTCAGACTCAAGTAATAATCAAATGTCTATTATTTACTCAGTGGCAGTTTAGTACATACTCCATATTAAAGAAACAAGACAAAAAATAAAGGGCAAGAAAATAACTCAGTTAAAATCTCTGCTCTATCTTAATACTGTGTGATCTTGGCTAATTGTATCACCTCTCTGGACCTCGGTTCCCTCATTCATAAGATAGATATGAAAAGAGGATTATTGTGAGAATAGAATGATTTGGGGTCTATAAACACCACGCCCAGTACCTGACATATAGTAAATGTCAATGAGAACTATTATTATAGCTATGATAATTATTAAGAATAGTGAGACAAAGTTTATGTGAAGGCTTCCATGGGTGGAGGCATCAACCAGGCTTTGAAGGATGAGTAGGAGTTCATTACAATGATGTAATGGATATTGGAGACAAAGCTGAAGGGGAACCACCAACAAAGGCAATCTGAGGGACAGGAGAGGTTGGCTAAAGAGAAGGTCTGGGAAGGACAATCATGGGAGATGCGGCTGGGCCACCATGTGAAGGCCTCGAATGCCCAGACTCTGGGCAGTGAAGATCAAAGGAAGGTATCTATGCAGAAAAGTGTCATGGCCACCTGAATTTCCCTGAAAGAATCCCTCTGATACTAGAGACCAATGCACAGAACACCTGGGGGCAGGGAGGCCAGTGAGGAAGCATCTTGAGAAGCTCACTCGAGGTCTGGGGCACAGGGAGCTCTTGTCTGTGTTGCCAGCTCACAGACCAGCATCAAGACTGTGAAAACAGTCTCCAAACGCTACCTCTAAAAAGAACTTAGAAATGGGTTATGAACCTAAACATCCCTCAATAAATAAACAAATTTTAAAATATGGCATAAAACTATATTCACAGTAACAAAAACATGGAACCAACTATGCTGCCCATCGAAAATAGACTGGATTAAATGTGGTACATATACATGATAGAACATTACACAGTCATAAAGAAGGACAAAATTATAACCCTCACAGCAACTTTGATGGATTTAGAGTTTGTAATACTCGGTGATCTATCACAGAAACAAAGAAATGAGTACCACATGTTCTTATTTATAAGCAGACCCTGAACAATTATCATAGTACTATAAGAAGGGATTGGGAAACTGCCAGAGGAGGAAGTGGGGAGGGGTATACTTCATCCATAAGGGTACCTGATCTCAAACCAGGTGACATGGGGATCAAAGTAAGGCCCAAATTTTACCTGTACAATGACCATTTGTATACCTAACCCTGAATCGCACCCCACATCTTTAAAATAAAAATTTTTTAACATGTGGCATATATATATATGTATAATATATATATGCACACATAATGGAATACTATTCATCCATTAAAAAAAAGAATAAAATCTTGTTATTCATGGCAACGTGAATGAGCCTAGAGGACATTATACTAAATGAAATAAACCAGGCACAAAAAAGTCAAATAACACATGTTCTCATTTAAATGTGGAAGATAAAAAATTAATCTCATAGAAATAGAGAGTAGAATTATAGTTCTTCGAGGCTGGGAAGGATAAGAGGGGAGAGACTGGACAGAGGTTGGTTAACAGATACAAAATTCCAGCTAGATAGAAAAAATGAGTTCCAGTGTTCTGTAGCACTGTAGGGTGACTGTGGTTAATGATAATCTATTGTACGTTCCCAAATCACTAGAAAATAAGGTTTTGAATAAATAATAACTGTATGATGAATATGCTAATTACCCTGATTTGATCATTACACATTGTATACATGTATTGAAAAAGCACACTAAACCCCATGAATATGTACGACTGTTATGTGTGAATTTAAAATAATAATTTTTTTTAAAAAAGAAATGGGTTGAGAGCAGGATCCAAATACCAGGCACAATTCGAACATTTTTGAATCCTGAAAAAGAATGCAAATGAATGCCACTATATCATGTCATATGTCCATAAAAGCCATGGATCAAGCTGACAAAGGGATGAATGAAATATATTCTATTCCCTTTTACAAGGTAGCCCTTCATAATGGCCTGACAGGTCAGGCTCGAATTTATAATTCTCAGATTCCTCTGAGCTCAAGTCAGGAGCATGGCACTCCAAGAGAGCCATCCCAGTCTGCAGCTCACTTCTCTTCTCACCCATCCCCAGTCCTGCCCTCAGCTCCTGCAAGCAAGAGTGTCTCTTGGTGCTTCTTCTACCAGGGGTGCATATTCGGTGGGCCCCACCCTCCAGTGGTAGACCTTGGGGAAAGGCCCATGCAGCCCAAGTAGGCACAAAGGTTCTCTTGGCAGAATCCAGGGGTGAATAACCATGTTGGATAAATGGGTCCCAGAGAATAGGAACTGAGATAATGAAGCTTGGGAAAGACACCCAGGCCCTCTAGATGCCCAGTCAGGATTCTTAAATATTCCCCATGAGTTAATTTTCTCCCAGGCTAAATTATCAGTTCAAATGAGACAGGCTTCTGTCTTTTCAGAACCTCACACAGTTGGAAGGCACACAGCACATACTCGACAAATACTTGAATAAACCAATGAAGAATAGCAGCCACTAACATTTATTGAGAGCTTACTGTCCCTTCATTCTTACTGTAATCCTGAGATAGATTCTAATCTTACAGAGGAGGAAGATGAAGCTCTGAGATGTTTATGTGCAGAGTCTGCTGGTGGTAAGTGACAGAGCTGAGGTGAACACGAATCAATGAGTCAATGAAGGAGTGTACAAAGATCATAATACTATAAGAAAGGAATTGGCAGTAGTGGGATACTGCCAGGGGAGGGGGTAGCACATAACATCAATAAGGGTACTCAATTTCAAACCAGGTGAAGTGGGGACCAAGGGGAGGCCCAAACTTTACCTGTACAATGACCATTTGTACACCTAATCCCGAACTGTACCCCATATCTTTAAAATAAAAATAAAGAAGGTACAAAACAAATAATGAGCAAATCAAATATAAACGAGGAAATGCATATGCTTTATCATTTTTTAGTACTTAGAAGTCTTCTGATCTCTGGGACTTCTTGAGCACCAGGCATGTCAGCTGACTTCCCCAGAAGCCCAAGGATCTACTCAGCCCCATCCACCCTCAGCCCACTTAATACCAAGATGAACCAACTCTCCTAGCCCAAGTATTTTCCCACTTCCTAGGAATCTGCTGTGCCTTTAGTCTCTATGCCCCCTCCGCTTTCTCCTTCGTCCACTCCTGACTCAGTAGCTTCTCCTGGGACTGGTGGATAGGAAGCCATCCACCAGTGGGAGCAATCATTATCCCACGGCTGTGACCCAGCCCTAGTGATCTCCTGCTACTACCTCCTAACTCCACCTACAATCTCCCCACCCTCAATATGTTTGGAGTATCATTCCTTATCATTGAGAGACACAAGAAACACATTTGTGAGTTTTAATGAAATGTGGATACTAAGGAACCTAAAACAAAGTCATTTCTATCCACGATATCTATTTTTCTTCTTCTTTTTTCTGACTGTTGTGGGCATCTGGGGAGTGGTCCAGTCAAGGATTCCATCAATTGTTACTGGTTGGATTGTTAAATAACGACTAGGGACACAGCACCGTTTACGATTTTGGCAACGCGAGATGCTGTCTTCATCATTTTTGCACACCAACCGGCAGCGTCCATTCATCCAACATTCTATTTGGGGGTACGGGAACAATCATTAAGCAGATGTTAGTATCTTTCAAGTGGAGAGACAAGAGGCGGCAGGAGGCAGACAGAGAACAGGGGGGACAGATAAGGAGGGAACAGAGCAGTTTGAGTAAGTGATGTTAGTCCCAGAAAAGGAAAGAAGAGGCCTTAGGAGGGGAGAGAACTGACACAATTCCCAGAGAGAACGCCAAAGTTTTCAGGAGAGCCTTTTTGTAGACTCTCCACCTTCTGTCTTCCCATCCCTCAACTTCCTACTTCTTATTTTGAGATCTGCTAAAGACAGTGAATGTCCCACCTAGCAGAGCTTTGGAATAATAGGAAAAGCACATGAGCACCTGTAACATCAGGGAATGATGGGGATTCACTCACATTACACAGCCCCAGCCTGGCCCTGTCTAACGTAAGCCCAACAAACCTCAGCTCCAGCCACAGCCCAATCTCCAATTCTCCTTGATCCCATATTCACCTTCAAACTCAAAACTCAGGCCAGCCTGAACTAGAACTCCCAGCTTTACCCAACCAAATGTCCCCTGAGCCCCCACTCCAAGCTAAACCTTAATCTAATCACACTCCCAACCTCAATACTCAGTCACAACCCATCACCAAGCTGAGCTCAAGCACCTTGCACCAACCAGCACAGACTCCCAGCCTCAACTCAAGCCCCAGCTGAACCCCCAGTACCAGTTCCACTCAACCCTAAATCCTGTCCCCTCTGCAACCCCACCTCCAGCCCATCAGGGAAGCCTCGCTCATCCTAATATTCCCCACCTAGACAAAAAAAAGAATCACAGAGAGACATTAAGTTGAGATGATCCTGAAAAAAACATTCCAAAAGTGCAAGGAAGGAAAAAAGACTTAGATGCTGCCCACAGTGAGAGGAGAGGGAAGGAGGAGGAGCCCAAGACCAGAACCCAAGACCCCTGAAACAGGCCCACATTACCTGACATCACTGGTTCCATGGCAAGAAAGATGGCCAGAAGCAGGTATAGAAGCTTCATGGCTGCTAGGATCTGAGGGAAGGAGACGGAGTGAGCTGTAGGGGATGGAGAGAGAGTTCCCTGCGGCAGGGGTGAACCTCACTTTTATCGGCAGGACCGTGGGCAGAGGATTAGAACAGAAGGGGGGTTATGTGAGGTCAGTGGGGCCAAAGGACAGCATGTAGCAGATATCTCTGCAAAGCACAAGATGAGACTTTGGGAAACTGGCCAACACCTGTGACAGTAAGAAGACAGGCAGATTAGAACCATTTTGCCTTTTGAGACCCACAAAGGAATTAATTAACACACAGATGCTTGTCAAGAAACATTCCACTTAAGAATTGCTTATTCTCAGCTTTCTATCAGAGGGATGCACACATGTATGTATTTCTGAACTTTGAACTTGCCAATCTCGTTCCCACTCCAGGGCCATAGCCATTGTCATTTGTTCTTCCTGTGAAGCTCTTCCTTCAGATTGTCTCAAGGATGGTCCCTGCTCATCATTCTGTCTATGATGACAGAGTAACTATACTCTGACTCAAAGTCACTCTGGATTGTAATAACTTGTTTTGTAACCTTCATAAATTTGTCTGTGCTTTTTTAAGTTTATTTTCTGTGTTTAATAGTTGTCTCTCCATTTAGAATGTCAAAAACTTGGCTTGTAATCCCAGTACCCATAACATCACCTGCCGTATTAAGATATTAATCCAGTAGATAGCTCTCCAAACAACAATGACTCCAGAAGACAGACATTGATTTCTTTTTTATGTAAAAATCTGGGTAAGCAGTTAAGTATAGCAGCTTCACTGTCCAGCAGGGAGTTTGGTTCCTTCTGGCTTGATGCTCCCATCCTTGCCAGTCAGCTTCACATGGTGATCCATGGGCTGCTCCGTTCCCACTGTCAAGTAAACATCTAGCCATCAGAGAGGGCAGACAGAAGGAAGTGAGGCATGGTCCCCTTCCTGTGAAGGACACCACTCAGAAGTTGTACACCTCCCTTCCACTTCCACCCACCGGCCAGCGCTCATTCAGACCCCCACACCTACCTGTAGGAGAGGCAAGACATGTTTTCTTTATTCTGGGCAATCATTCAGAGCTAAAATTCAGGTGCTGTCTTACTAAGGAGAAACCTAGCACTGACATACCTGGCATTAAATAGTAAATAATAGTCAATAAGTATGTATAAATTTAATAATAAATGTTACTACATAGCAGTGCCCTCAAGCCTTCAAACAGACCTGAATTCAAATCCTGCTTATGCTACTTGCTACCTGTGTGACTACTGTAGATATTAAACTGTTGTGTTTCACAAAAAATTATAAACAATAAATATTAATAACTTATCCATGGAGTATGGCTATGAGAAGTGATCTAATGGGGAGGAAACCCAAGTCCTTCTGGAGTGCAGAGAAAGCATGCAGGCAGTGCCCCTGCGACCATCTCTTACAGAAAATGGATAAGAACTGGCCACAGACAGAGCTTAAACAAGAGACTATGAAGGACAGAGAAAGAAGATAATTCATTGGGCACCTACTGTATACTAGGCTGAGAGAATAGGCTTGGTTTCATACAGATTTGGGTCTGAGTGTTAGCCCTGACTCTTGCTACCTGTTAACCTTGAGTAGGTAAAATTTTCTGAGCTTCCTATGATAAATACAAATCATAATTCTAATTTAATTAAATAGGATACCCTCTGTAAATTGCTTAGTAAAGTACTTGACGCATAGTAAGTGCTGAATAATAATTAACTATTACTGTTGTTTCAATCACTTTTATTATGGTTATCATTATATTTATCATTATTATTATCCTCAGGACAATCCTGAGAAGTGAACGTCACATAGGACTAAACTGAGACTCAGTTAGGTGAGCGGACCTGCTCTGGGGCTTCTTGGGTGGGGAGATGAATGCGGGAGAGGAAACAAATTTCTCTGCAGGAAGGTCAGGAAAATGAACAGGAGTCAGCTGCAGCCGTGAGCGTCTAAGACACAGGGAGGCCCGGAAGGAAGAGAGGCCACACACCCAAGTCAACCTGTGAGAGGCTTTCAGGGTCATCCTCGGGGCTTTGGAATCCACCTGTAAACTCTCAGAGAAAACCCGGATGACTTGGTCAGATTTTTTCCTTTTTATTTTTCTTTCTTTTTAGCCTAGGAAAAATCACTCTGACAGCCCACAATGAAGATAATTGCCAGGGCAGAGGCAAGGGGGGAAGATGAGTAAGGAAGCTGTTACAATTTCCCGGGAGAAATGACAAGACCTGCATTGTAACTGAGAGAGCACAAACATCACTGAAGGCTGGGAGCCCAGAAGACCCTTTCTGGCAAGCTGTGGAAGTAGCCATAGAACTCAGCCAGTGAGCACTAACTCTCGGCTAAGTCCAGCGACAGGTATTTCACAGGTATTCTCTCATTTCAAGCTTACAGCAACCAGAAGAAGTTTCCCCCATTGAGGAAACTAAAATTCAGAAGGATGAACACTTTGCCCAAGTAATCATATGGGATGGGGGAGTTCAAGACCGATCTGAACCCAGGGCTAGCTGGTTCTCAAATACAATGCTTCTGACAGTGACTGTCGTCAATTATGTCTTCATACTTGGAACAGCAGGAGATGCAGCTAAGTGAGGAGGCAAGTTGGAAGGAAGCCTCTAGTAATTCTTGCCTGGAAGAATTTGAGGAGTCTCTGGAGTGAGAAAGTGGGAGTGAGATCAGAGAAACATCTGTTTGTAGCCTTCATTTTTTTTTGTTTATTTTAAAGATGTGGGGCACAATTCAGAGTTAAGTATACAAATGTTCATTATGCAGGCACACTTGTTGATGAGGTGTGCCTCCTCTCCCATGGCAGAATCCCACTACTGCCAATCCTGGCCTCCACTCCCCCAGCAATTTCCCACTGCTGACATTTTCTTATAGTATTACAATAATTGTTCAAGGTCCACTTATGAGTGAGAACACGTGATACTTACTTCTTTGTTTCTGTGATAGATCGCTCAGAATTATAGACTCGAAGTCCATCCAAGTTGCTGTGAAGTTCATAATTTTGTCCTTCTTTATGACTGCGCAATATTCCATTGTGTATATGTACCACATTTTTTAATCCAGTTCTCTTTCGATGGGGAGCATGGCTGGTTCCATGTTTCTGTTATTGTGAACAATGTTGCAGTAAACATGCGTGTGCAGGTATCTTTTTCTTTTTTCTTTTCTTTTTTTGAGCTGGAGTCTCACTCTGTCGTGATTTGAGTTCCTCCAGATATATTCCCAGTAGGGGAATTGTGGGATGTAGATTTCATTTTTTTTTTTTGAGTTGGAGTCTCACTCCTTTGCCCAGGCTGCAGTGCCGTGGCACACGTGCTCACAGCCACCCCAGCGTCGACCTTCTGGTTTCCAGCGATCCTTCCACCTCAGCCCTCCAAGTAGCCCAGAACTACAGACGGGCGCTACCACACCCGACTATTTTTTATTTTATTGTAGAGACGAGGTCTCACCAAGTTGCCCGGGCTGGTCACAAGCTGGCAGGCTCAGGCAATCCACTCGCCTCGGCCTCCCAAAGTGCTGGGATTACAGGCTGAGCCACCGAGCTCAGCCTATTTTTTTAATAAAAGCTTTACTGAAGTGTAATTTACATACCATAAATTCTACTCATCAAGTGTGCAGTTAAATAATTTTTAGTAAATTTACAGAGTTGTGCTACTACAGCCACAATCTAATCTTAGAACATTTCTGTCACCTCAGAAATATCCTTCCAACTCATTTTTAGTCACTGCCCATTTCCACTCCCAGCCCCAATGGAACTGATGTTTATAGTAACATCATCAACTGTGTATTGAGCATCTTCTGGGTTTAATTCTCACAAGGAGGAAACTGTAACTCAGAGAGGTGAAATGACTGAACCAGGGTCACAGAGGGATCAGAATTCAAACCCAGGAACCTCTCCAACAGGGCCCAGACCAAGGAGAAGGTCCTGAAGAAATGAGTTTGCAACGATATGCAGACCTGAGCATTTTTCAAGCTGAGGGGAAACACTGTATAATCCGAGATTTTGAAAACACACAAAAAAGAGTGAAGTTGTTGATGGAGAAAAATCCAAAGGAAAAAAGGGGCGGAGTCAAATACTTAACCAAAAACCTTGGACTTCAATAGAGGGAGATTTCCTCTTTTGAAAGGAGAGGGATTTTATAGAACAACTACATAGCATTGTCTTTAAGCCTTCAAACAGACCTGAATTCAAATCCAGCTTATGCTACTTGCTACCTGTGTAACTGCTGTAGATATTTAACCGTTGTGTTCCATTTGGTTTCATTGGCTTTGTTTTGTGTTTTGTCTGTCTGCATCTGCACCCATTTTCCATCTGGGAGAAATCCCCCACCGCATGAGTCTTGGAGAGGGCAGTGCTGCCTCCCACCGTAAGACTGAGAAAAGTACAAATGCTTGTTTTCCTGCCTCCTCGCAGCTAAGATGTGAGCGCATGACCTAGGCTCAGCCAATCAGATGATTCCATCCTATTCTTTGAATCAGGTGCTCATGATTCCAGGAAGCTGGAGCAGTGGAGAATTCATCTGCGCAAAGAAGCCCCCAGTGCCCATTGTCCAGGAGCAATGGAAAAGCAGGGCAAATGGGCATGAGTCAGGGTCCCACAAAGGGGTTGGTGGTAGCTGTGTCCTCGCTGGACTGTATCTATAGGGTAGTTTTCACTCTAGCTCTACCTACCACACCTCCTTGGTTTCTACCCATTTTCTAAGCCCGGCTCTGGGAATTCTCTGAACTTTCAAATAGCCAAATAAATTCCTTTGCAAGAACCCTAAGTGATGCAGTGACAACAGGCAACTTGTTCAACCAAGTTTGGGATGATAGTAATATGTCGCTTATGGCATGCTGTGACCCTTAGGTGATAAAAAGTGCCTAACCAGTGTTTAACACAGTGCGTGGCAGGTAGCAAGCTCTCAATACTTTTGAGTTTCGCTTTCCTTTTTCTGAGGTGAGGGAGGAGGCCTTTAGCGGGTTTGGCCTCTACTGTCTTAGTGAACG